ATTTTATTGCAATCATTTGTAGTCCCATCAGTAACACTCAGGATAGTATCCATATATCAACTAGGTTGTGTATACAACATGTATGCATGTTACTGTCCAATATCACAGTGATCCGACCACCATCATACAGTGTATCATGAGTGTATCATGAGTGTATCATTACCCCACAATGCGTTGTTTTTTTGCATGATTTTGTGTCGTATTTCAATACTATTCAACCGTTTATTTTGACCCTATACAACAGCCATTGTAACTCTGTATTGTTACCATATTGTTACCATATTGTAATGTGTATATACATGTCATCGAGTCAACCAATGCAGTACTGTATAGGCATATGGCTGCATTTGCATCACCACCCAATATTCGTACAAAAAAAACCCGGCAATTGAGCCGTAATCCGTTGCATACGTATGCTGATCACCACCATAATTGACCGCTGCATTAATATATCCGCATTCGGACACTCCAAACGTCATACTAACCACTCGTGTCTGATATTATCCGGACATTCGGACAGGATACCATGTCTGATATTCGGACAATATATCCAACTTTGTCAATATTGATGCTATCGTATTGATATATTGACCATTGTAATATATATACATGATATGTATACAGTCCAAACCACAGCGCAATAAGTCGTGTTTTGAGTGTATACCGACGTGTCCAATTCGGTCGACAGTCGTGACTATAACATGTTGTTAGTTTAGTTGACAACATGCCATGATGCATGTCCAATATATAGTATGTATATACATACATGTCCAGTATCAATCGCATGCATGTAGTGTCATTATTCATCGAGATACACGCATTTCCAGTTTCATGTCAAATATTCGTGCTATGTGCAAGTTGTATTTTTTACATGTATCGCATGTCAACACATGCATGCATTGTACATGCCAATGCCATGTGCATATACTGTAGTAGTTTCATGCAACTAGTGTCACTATTGACGACGATATACGATATCAAACACGTCAAAACGTCATTTTCGGACTTTGGTCGACCCATTCCATGTCAGATATTGACCATAGTGCGTCAGTGACATCATAATTCGATCCGCAACACATAATTACATATATGTGGTGCATACCAAGTCATTTGGTCGACTTTTGTGGTCATAGTCGATATTAAAGTTTTTAGTTTGCAATTGGTTTGAAACGACGAGCTCTACTTGTTATTTTAATCTAGTATCGTGTCTATCAGTCAATCAACAATTTATCTTGTATG